CAACAGCACTTGTTACGTTACCATTCCTTACCAAATGACACTTGTATCAAACACGTCATAACAGCTTGAAAAGAGAAAAACTGCTGAGAGAAGGAAGTAGTGATCTCAGACACAGATTCACAACTACTGCAAGAACTGAAGCCCACAGAGCAGAAGGAATTGCTATGTAACAAGTGCTGTTGGTGGCTCTCCAGCCTGAGGCTCAGGATGGAGATGTCACAGAGAGCCACTGGTGTGGCCTGGGGGGCATTCCAGAGTACCTTTTGGCTAAGGTCACAGGAGGCATTGTGGGACCCTGCTTCCCAGGATGGGAGCTTTTGGGAAGCTCTGCCTCAGACTCAGTGGGCCCATCAGAAGGGCACACTTCCTCTCCAGGCCCTCTAGTGCCCTCCGTCCCCACCTCTGACCCCAGGCACAGCTGCTGGGAAGTCACACCACAGCTTGTGTGGCGGCTTCTACCCGTGGGCTCTGCAGGAAGGGCCAGCTCCTGGCCAGCCCTTGCTGCTATTCTTCCTGGAAGAGGCTCCTGGAAGTAACAGCCTAGCCCCAGAATGACCAGCTTCTATTTCTATGCCACACGGGCCATCAGAAGGGCATCATTGCCCTCCTAACCCTTGTTTTACTGCCCCTCCTGGGCACACCTGCTGTAAGTCACAGCCTAGGCCTGTTGTGGCCAGCTTCTATCACCATGACATGCAGGCCATCAGAGGGGCACGGTTTCTCTCTGAGCCTTTGCTCTGTTGTTCCTCTTAGGTGTGGCTACAGGAGGTGACATCAGAACTAGGGTGAATTTCCCCCTAGTTGCCAAAAGTGGAAGCCACCAAACCGACCTCTTTCTTGTTCCAGAGTCACTAAGAGGAGGATACAATTCACGTGACATCATTGTCAGGTGAGTCTTCTTATGTTGGAGGAGATGTCTCTTGGGTGGATCTGCTGCTCATGCACTGAATCCACGCCAGACATGGCCAAGGCTCCCAGGAGCTCAAAGGATGGATGGCTGTTGCCAAGACCAAGTTTGGACCACCCCATTGATCTAGGTGAGGCCCAGCCCTGCTGCTGATGGCTAGGGCTATAATGAGGAACAGTCAGTGTTCTGGCCAATCTTTGATGGAAGTTTCTCTCGCGTGCCTGAGTGGTCAGGTTGGATAGTCAAGTACTGCCCACAGACATGCACAGAGTCTGCATCTTGGATGAGGAGCGAGCCTGTTTCTCTGGCCCATTCCCATCCAGCCTGCCCACTTCAAACATTCACCTTCTGGTGGGGCAGGGCTTTCAACTTTTCACTTATAATTAAAATTCTAGAAGAAAATGTCAAATCTAACTACTCAACCAATGAAAATTACAATTTAACGGACAACAGTGAATGCTTGGATACATAAAAATTAAAAGCTTGCATAACAAAAAAATGTAATGAAACTCCTACAAAGAGCTAAGCAATAAAATTGAAAAAGAGATCATCACAATCAATATAGAAAGAACTTCTATAAAAAGTCAATATATTCAAAGGTAACTTGATAACTGGTCAAAGGAGATGAATGTACAATTTGCATGCAAGAAAACGGACAGTATTTAAGTCATCTCATGAGAGAAAAAAGATGAGACTAGGAGTTAGGAGGCCTGGGTCCATCTCCAGTTCTAGTACTAATGACCCATAAAATTATAGCAATAACTATGATGATGACAGCAGATGCCCTTCACTGAGTGTCCCTCCATGCTAGGCATGGTGTCACAGTCCTCACCATAACCTCAGGAAGTAGTCCTGTGATCATCCCTGTTTTACAAAGCCGGAAACGGAGGGTTGGAGAAGTACCATCTAGGTCCCATATGAGGAGAGGCAATTGTTCTCGAAAAGGAGGTGTTACCTTTCACTTGAGTCCTTGATATGTCCCTGTTACTATGGGGATGCTCTTTCAACTACTTAATTTTGAACAAAATAATGCTGCTAAGGATGACTCATTAACCTGAAACAAACCCCAACTGATGCTAGTTTTGTATATTTGTGGGGCTCACCAGACAGAATTGGTTTCAGAATAAAGGACACTAAAGAAATTTAACCTAGGAGTATGATCTCACAATGACAAATTTTAGATGCTTAAAAAAAGGCTTTTAAAGGTCATTTAAAAAAGCAACACCTTAAGTGGTTATGTTGCAAAGTTATGGGACAAATTTAAAAAACAATTGTCCTAATCTTACATGGACATGTACTTATGGCTTGGGAGGAAATTTCTAGTGAGAGCCTTGTGCAGGGATTGTCATAATGCTACATGGCACACAGCTCGAATGGATGGAAAACCACTGGATGTGCTTTGAAATTGATGACTCAAAGGGGGCTCCCAGGTTGGTGAAGACGGTGAGGTTAGAAATGCAGGTGAGGAGTTAGAACAAAATGATATGGAACGGAGCATGGGAAAAAAGGAAATTTTCTAAATTAATATATTAT